TCCCTTCCAATCCCTAACATCCCGTGATTCTATAAAATAAGTGGGTTCAAGCTTTTTTTCATCTCCTTGAGCAGCATCCAGCCATGAAGGGCTACTAAGATGCCTGCAGATCATTGCCTGTTCCATGGAGAGCTACCTCTGACTATTTTATATGTGGGAAGAGTGAGATCTGCCGGCCTGTGAAAGAGTAGGGGCGTGAGCAGGGATTTTGGGAGCTATCTGAAATGCTAGTGAGTAAAGCAGGAAGATTATCTAGGTCTTGGCCTGCTCATTGTGCACTCTTCTTCCCTACTGATCTCCCCAGCAGTGGTAGCGTGGCTTGTGGAGGTGATGTGCCATCACTTTGTCAGCTGTCAGCCCACACTCAGGTGTTGGAAAGCTCAGGGGAAAACCCTGCTTTTGGGGCAGGTTGACGTTTACAGTACAAATCGTTCTGGGACAGAAGATGAGGGTGGGGTTCTTGCTTTCTGACCTGCAAGCTACTTTCTCGTTACTGTACGTCATGTGTGCGCACTGTGGGAGTGACATCAGCTGGTTGTCCACGGCAAGGACAAATGGAAGTTTCTCCCAGTTTCTGTTACCCCAACTATTGTTTTGTGGTGGGCCAAATATCCCCTGGCTACCAGGAGAGAAAAAAAGGCTGACAGAGAGAAATCATGTTCTGTCATGCATGTTAACGACAGTATGAATTAAAGGCAGCTGAAAGGCTTTTACTGCAGAGAGGGGAAGGTGGGGAGAAGTGAGATGGAACTGTCCCTCCTCTGCTCCTTATGTGCCTGACATAGTCTGTGCTTGTTTCAGGCTGCTGCACAGTGCTGAGGTTTGCAGCATGCTTTGCCATGACTAGCACGGTACGATTTGAGGTTTCAGTCAGCAATAAAATAATTAGCAGCAGTGGAAGGTATGTACATGTTCTCTCTTTCGTGGGCCACCACATTTTGCCAGCCTGTGGCTGCTGGAGCAAGCCCTTGGCCTCTGTGTTGCAGGCTGGCTCATCTTTAGTCCAGCCCTTAAGCACCACTGTGAAGAAGAGTATGGATGTTGTCATTAGACCTAAAAAATGCTGAGTGAGATGCAGGGCATTAAACTCTGACGGGCTGAGATACTGCAGTGTTCAAACATCTGAAAGGTTTTATTTCAAACTCTGAGGTGCCGCTCAAAACTTCCAAGCTGTCAGTCTCAGTCGACGGACAGAGAGAGGCTTCAGTGGCCTGGCAAGTGGTGTTGGCTTCTTCTGGACTTAAAAGTGGAGGTTATTTAATGCACTGATGGGAAATGGCTACTAAGTGGAAATAATTGTTTTAATATGGGTGTGTTAACCATCCTCGAGGTATTTTTATAAATATCCTAGAACAAAAGAGCATGGTTTTTAAAGCTGAATGTAACCACTGCTCCACCTGGGAACGGTTCTTCCCCAGCAACAACACGTAATTTATAAAGGGAATTTAAACCTAATTCATCTTGGCAAACTATAGAGCACATGGGAACAAGAAAAATGTAATTATTTGAGCTGGTATTAGCTGTGCTTGTGTTGTGAGATGCAACCTGTGTTTAGACAGGATTTAGAGACCATTTAGAACTTGTCACCGCAGCTGGTTCCAGCTTTATTGCACAAAAAATGGACTTAAGTTTTAAATCTGTGCTGACTTGTGTTGAGTTCATTGCTGATGGCAGCTGCCACTTTGACAGCTGTGGAAGTCTTCTCTCATACGAGTGAGTGCTGCTGTTCCTGGGTCCTGGGTTAGTGCCGGTCCTAACCAGCAACCAGGCTGCCGTTCAGCAGCTGTGATGAGAAGGCAGGCGGGGAGCTGCACCTCACTTGCCAGGCTGAGCTCACTTGCTCACAAAGCCTGTGAAATTTTATTACTAGCTTCACCTTTGAGTCACTACCAACCTGACCAGTGATGCAGAGATGAAAGGTTTGATGCCAGTGGCTTGGTACCTGTTCTCTGTACTGTTTATCTCTCTGATGGAGGGTGTGTGTGTGGATAAGACACCTGTATATGATTGATTGACTGATTTCTAGGATCACGGGGTCAGCAGCAGCCTGTTCCAGAACCCTTCAAAACTTCACCTGACTCTTGGAACGCTGGTACTTCTGAATGAGCAAGAGATCCAGAAAGCGTGTGACCTCCTACAGCGATGCAAAGAGGACTTCGTGGAGTAAGTGATAAAAAAGAGATGTCATCACCAAGGGCGTGAGTGGGGTAAAAACAGCAAGCTGTCTTTGGCAAGGGAGGGTGACAAGAAAAACAGCTCAATACTCTTATCTCAACTCCAGAAATTTAGAAAAAGGCTGAAACGTTTCAAATGGGAGCAGAAGAAATCACCAAGCAGTCACAAAGAGTCTAACAGCATCTCACAGCTCAGCTCAAACCCTCAGCATTCCCTGAAAACCTTGCTCCACTCATTTCTTTTTCCCACGTGTGTCCCTGTTATTTTTACGTGAGCAATTTTTGCTGTTGTCCCCCGCCTGCGGCAGAGGGAGGGACGAGCTCCATTACCTTTGTGCTTTGCCTGCAGCGGGCTCTGGCACGCTGCTTCCCTCCCGCCTCAGAGCAGATGCTGAGGTGTCCTTGACATGCATTTCTTGATGCAGGGAGCTGTGTGCAGGGAAGCCAGCATGAGCTGTGTGAGTTATCAGTCCGAAACGTTCAGTGCTGCTCCAGGACCAGGGTTAACACTGAGATGCAGATGCTAGGGCTTTAACTGTAAATGTGGTTGAATGACACTATAATTAGCTTATCTCTGTTCAGCTTAGAAATTAGAGATGGCCTGAGGGATTGGTTTATTTATTTATTTCTGCAAAACCTTTTCACACAGAGCACAGATCCTTGATATTTATTTGTTTGTTGCCTCAGTGCATGAAGAATTGGCCGCGCTGTGCCAGCTAATATCGGTGGGAATTAATGCATGGCCAAAATCATACCTCTGCCTTTGAAATGATGGCTCCAGTTGTTCAGCTGTGTAACAGAAATGCAAGCACATTTCCAGGGGAAGGCTCTGCCCGTAGTATTTGGAGAGTGCCAGCTTCCTCAGAAGTGGATTGAACTGAGGCAGAGAAAATCTTCATTCTCTTTTTCCTTTAGTGGAGGGAGAATCAACACTTGAATGTAACCTTTAGGTTATTTCCCCTGCCACACCCAAATAAATATACTTTGAAAATTAATTTAGGCTCCCTTCCACCCACATAAACCTTCATTAGTGTTCATTTACTTTCCTAAATGCAGGCAGTGCCATGTGAAGGTAGATGTGCCTTTTTTAGAATAGATGGCTTTAAGAGCTGTCGCTGTGATGTGCACGACAGTGCACTTGTGCTGTTTTCCTCCCAGTAAACATACTGGCAGGGGAAATCACTCTCTCCTTATTCCACCTGGGAAGCTTTGCTGAGAATCTCAAAGGCCGTCTCTCGGGCGAGCTGAACAGAAGCGAGCAAGGTTAGAGCAAAGTCACGCTCACATTGTTAACTCGTGTTTATTACTTCTGCCTGCCCAGGCAGTCCCTGCGCTTTCCGTGAGACCTCGGCGCTAAATGAGACAGCGGCAGTCGCTCACAGGGAGCTTTCGCTGCAGCGCCCTGCCTCCCTCTGATGTTCTGGTGGAAAAGGCGAGGAGGCGACATGTTTGGAAGCAGATACGCTTCACAGTGTGTTTGCAGGTGTGGGAGTGCATATTGTATCCTGCACACATTTTTGGTTTTGCCTTCCTGCACGAGTAGCTGGAGCTGACTTTAAAACAGCTCTATTTACTTCCAGCATTTGTAAGTGGATGTTGAAAAGTACTTAAAACTGCATTCTGTATCAAGTACTTTTCCCAGCAAAAATGAACAAGCTGGAGACTGTGTCACGATCGCTCTCTTCACAGAGACAGGAGCTTCTCTGGAATGAGAACTTGTACCATTTTATTGCTGATGGGTTTTTTGAAATGGAGATCTCTGTGTTGAGATAGCCTGTGAACAGGGACGAGTTTGACTTAATGTGTGTTTAAAACACTGAACATATGAATTTAAATGTTTTTACAGTATTTCTTGAGATGATGAGACAATAGCAGCTGTAGCCTTTCAAGCTTTAGAAATTAGGGAGCCTTTTTGTGTTTGGGTTTTTTTCAGTGCAAACCTGAAAGGTGTGGGAAAGAGAAGAACTCTCAGTGAAGTTCACTGCCCCATAAAGTCTGTATAGCACTTAAGGCCTGCTTAACCTCAAATTTATGTTTAACTATAGCAAAAAATGTATTTTGTATCATTCCCTTTGTAAAACCAAACATTTAGTGTGTGCATGAGGAGTACTATGCCTTGTATTTCAAAAGCAGGTGTGATGTTTTGCTTTTTAACATGAGGGATTTCTTGCATTTTAGCCAAATTGCTGGAGGCAAGCCCCTGACTGTGGAGGTGGCAGGAGTGGAGTACATGAATGACGATCCTGCCATGACAGATGTCCTTTATGCCAAAGTCCACATGAAGGATGGCTCGGACAGGTGAGTTCCCCAGGCTCCTTTCTTTCGTTCCTCCTCGATGTGCCACAGCAGCAGTAGCAGTGTGCCAGAGAAACCTTCTGCTGTCTGAAGCTGGTGAGTACTGCTAGCAGCAGTCAGGAAGATTAAGTCATTTTTGCTTCCTAAGCCAGTTAAGGCAGTGATGTGTTTGCTCTTTAAATCAGTCACTGGTGGTGCAGCTGAAAGATGTCATTTGTTTCTGTAGCAGTCTGACAGATTGAATAATGGTGTCATGGCTCACACGGTGTTAAGATGGCCAAGGAGATAGTCCTGAGATGACTTAGAAGGCAGGACAACTTGGCCTCTGCTGTCCCAACCTGCAATCCAGATTAATCTGGACAACCTGACATATTCTGCAGCACTTAATAATTCTTAAAACCCAGTTACACCAGAAGGTCCTCAGAAAAGCATGACTTGGTTACAGAGTTGGTTTTTGTGTCTGTTAGCAGCCTGAACAGGCGCTGGGTGTGAAGATGTCTGTCTTCTGAGCTGCTGGTTTGAAATCTCAAAGTCTGGTTGGTGTCAGTGTGTGTGTGGGTGCTCTTTGCCACTGCGGCTGATGGCTTTAGGACTACAAACGGCGCTGCCCAGGATGTGGCAGTGTCTGGACAACCTTCCTCCATCTGTTTTTTGACAAATATGTCACCAGTGGCAGCACCAGCTTTTAGTGCTTTCTGGAAGACTGGGGAAACATAAGGGCTGTTGTACTCAATGCTATCAGTTGTGAGGTGAGTGGGAAAGGGCATAGGGGAATAGCCAAAAGAGCTTTAACCTTCTCTCCCTGAGCCTTAGCCTTCTCTTTTTCTGGCAGCGCTGCCCTTTTGTGTCTGTTCCCTTTGCTCCAGGACAGCAGAAGCTATTGGGAGCACGCAGCAGTGCAGCTGGAGGAGGGAGGCTGTGAGCAGGCACCAGCTCGGGGAAGAAAGGACGTGTTCTAGCATCTCCTTTTCCTGAGGGTTGAGGAGACAAGGGGGGCCCACTGCTTATAACCACAGTTTGGAGGCTGTGTTGAAGTAAGAGATCGGAAGTGGGATAAGAAAATGGGTGGGACAGTGAAAATAAGAATTGCTGGGAGGCAGTAGGAATTGAAATCTTTTCCTGGCTTTTCCACTTTGAAGTCTGTTCTACCCTGAAAGAGGTGAGTTAAAACAAATGGGGTGGGTGGAGAACCAGGACAAGCTAGAGATCAGCCAGGAGACAGAAGAGAAGTACAGGGAGAAACAAGGCAGAAGCACTCAGAAAGATGAGATGGAGGCAGACCCTGGATGACCCAAACGCCCTTCAGTCAGTTTGTTGTAGAAAGCATCCAAAGTGGCAGCTCTGAGAGCTGAAGTGTGGGCCTCTTTTTCTGAGTCATTGAGCTCTTGATTATCTCTGAGGTGCAGTACTTGTGAATCTGCTTGCATCTGAAAGTAAGTCTGAGACCTGAGGAGCTGGTAGAGAAGTCCTGTAGAGCGTTCAGTAGGGCCTAAGGTGAGGCAGTGATGTCTGCGTGTGTCTGGGGACAGCTTGAATTGTTGGTACTAGCACTGTGGTCTGCTTCAGGTGCCAGCTATATCTGTTTTGCTGAGAACCCACTTAGCAGAAAATGATGATGTGCATAAGGGGTAGCAGAGGAGAGAAATCTTCAAATCCACCCTGCCTTGAAACTGAAAACGACCCCCACCCGTGCCCCCCAAGAAAGGGCTGATCTCTCCTCTGTTCTTCACAGAGATCTATTAGCTGAGGATTTGACCAAAGCCGGGTCTTGTGCTTTGCGTGGCAGCTGGAGGCTGGCAGACTTCTCTTCTGCAACACCTTTTTTGCTTTTTGTATAGCAGCGTGCTCAGCGAGGGCCAAGTAATTGTTTTTATCCTTGGCCCAGACTGGTCCTGCCCTCATCTGCAAATTAATTAATCTGGCACTTCTCCCCTAATACACTTCCTTAACTGTTAGCAAGCATCAAGAAAACATTCAGCTTTGCAGAGGGGAAAGAAGACATTTTTTGTGTTGATGGAGAGCAGCGAAAGCTTCATTTGCTTCCTTTGTGATTCCAGCAGACACAGCGTCAGACAAATGGTGATTACAAAGAGGGGACAAATGGTGATCCCTCCAGAAAACTCTGCTTCATTTTCTGGTCTGCTAGATGGATCATTGCTGAGCAGCTCCATGCACCTCTTGCCTGCTAGAACCTTTGCTCAGGGAAATGGGGAAAGCAGGCAGAAATCAGTTTCTCAGCTGCAAGGCCAGTACCAGAGGACAGCGGCATCCACGTGATCTTCTGTGCTGGATCAGACTGCTGCAGCCTGTGTTGAAGAGATGTGTGCTTTCCTGTCTCATGCCAGACGTCTTGCTAGTTCTGTGTAGTTCCTGGCATGGCTGAGGGGTGGAGTTCCTTCCTGATCTTTGGATGATCTTGATCAGCTTAAGCTGTGAAGCAGGAGATTTGATTTCCCCTGACTTAGCTTGCATAACTGCAGACAGAATTAGGGGTTGGCAAGCCCTTCTGCACATATAATGGCTCAGACTGAGAGAGGGATCATGCTCTAATGCCTCCCACATGGCAAATAATTTCCATTATAATTCATTCTAATTTGTTTTATTTCCTTGATTAACTTTATAACGTAATAAAGCACCATTTTCACTTGAGATATTCTCTGTTAATTTGTTTTAGTATTGTCTGTAATGATATTCATTTAATCTTTGTCATTGCTAATTTTAAAAATTGCTGATGTAAAGCCAGAAAGTGGTAGAAAACCATGACAATTGGTAGTTTGAGAGTCCTGAAGTCATCACATGGGGGCTGGCAGGCCGTGAGGGGCAGTACAAAAAAACCAGCCGTGGGGTAGGAGGTGGCATCTGGAGCGTGGCAGCCCTGGGCTCTCAGGGCCAGCCTCGGAGTGACCACGCTCTGCCTCTCCTGCTGCAGCTGAGATGCCAAAGTGGTGGGATCCGGTGGAGCAGAAATCTGTCTGACCCCTTGGACGTGGTGAAAGAAGCCCAGATTCTTCTGTGTAGAGTGTGTCCTGGTTTTTAGCTGAAACAAAGATGGATTTCTGTTTCAATAGTTAGAGTAGTGCTGCGTTTTGCTTTTCAGCCTGGGACATATTATGAGAGAGACACTGATAGCATAGCAGTGTTTGCATTTGTGTCACTGGAAGTGAAGGACTTTGTGTTCTGTTAGTCCACGAGCACAAGATCTAAGGGGGTGAGGAATATTTAAATTAATAAGCTAAGTTGGCATTTGGATATACCAATGGGATATTCCATATCATATCACATCATGTGCAGTATATTAGTGAGGGGCTCTTCCTCTCTGGCTCTCTCTGGCTTTTGCTCAGGCTCTCACTCTTCCGGGATTGCAGTTTTGGTTCCGAATTGTTGCTCCTCTGGGATCATTATCTGGGAACAGGCCGGGCTTGGTCAGCAGGTGGTGAGCAATGGCCCTGGGTATCACTCATTTGTGTATTTTGTTACTGTTATCATTATCACTATTATTTTAATATTAGTATTAGGGTTTTTTTATTTCTATTATTAAACTGTTTTTATCTCAACCTACAAGCCTCCTTATCCTTGCCCCCAAACCTCTCCATTTCTATTATTAAACTGTTTTTATCTCAACCTACAAGCCTCCTTATCCTTGCCCCCAATCCTCTCCCCTATCTCCTGGGGGCTTGGGGGGAGTGTCTGAACGGCTGTGTTAGCTGCTGGCCAAGGGCTGGCCAAGTGAAACTATCACAAGAGTGGTACCCTCTTGCCTTGTTTTTGGGGATGGGAAGCTCTGGTTCTATCACATCCTTGCTGCTTTTGGTAAGGCTGGGGCACTGCAGAAATTTTGTGAGGAAGAGCAGCAGCCTGGAAGTTTGTTCAGCTCTTTGGGTGTAAGGATACTTGAGCGCACTGCTCTGATCACCTGCCTGCTCCTGCTGCCTATCCCAGGACAGGCATGCCTGCAGATCCCGGCAGCCATGGCTGCTTTCATCCCCAGCCAAGGCCAGATAAGAAGGTGGCAGTAAGTCCTTTGATTCTGCTTGCTCAGCAGCTCCGAAGCTGGAACATTCACCAGAATGTGCTTTCTGGGTTTTTGCCCTCTGTCACCATGTTCTGTCTTCTCCCAGAAATGAAGCCCAGTGACTGGGTTGCTTGTTTGGGACAGAGCAGGTCCAAGCTCCAGCCTGGTGCACTGTACGGGTCACAGTCCCTGAGCAGAACAGGTTCTCTAGGAGTCAAGGTGTCCAAAAGTCCCCAGGGGTCTGCAGATTTTAGCATCTGTCAGGACAGTCACATTGTGTCCCGGTTACATCTGTCACTGCAAACAAGCTTCCTGCTATGCTAAATCTGCCCTTCTTCATGGAATATTTGCAGCAGAAGTGATCACCAAGGAAGCTTTGCAAAGCAGCCAGAACTTTTTGCATTAGAGCTGAATCCTGATGGCTCTGTTCACTTTCCATCAGAGCCTAGTTCCCTTTCCCCATGTGCGTCCAGAGACTTCGTTTCACACTTGCTGCCGGCCCTGGTTGAAAAGTGAAAAACTGGCGAAGCAGGGGTTTATCCTTGGTTCACACTGCTTTATTCTTTCTCTTTTTGCCTTCCCAGATTGCAGTTGATTGCTGATCAGCTGGTGGAAAGGTTTGTGGCCTCCGGCTTGATGCTTAAAGAATGGGATAGGGTGAAACTGCATGCTACAGTCATGAACACTCTCTTCAGGAAAGATCCAAGTGGTGCGTATCCCTCATCCGTATTGATAAATGCATTTAAAGTAGTACCTCTGAACAGGAGATACTTTTGTTGGCTTTTATGTTTCTTTTTTCCAATCTTGTGATTTTTCTTAATCTCCAAAATACCTACAAGGTTGTGGGGGGGCTGTCACTAAATAAAACCCAGAAGAAAATGAAAAAGCAGTCAGCAGAGCTGGAGAAGGCAGGCATGCTTTGAACACTTTCTGGATCTTTTCTAAGATTCTTTGCCATAGCTTCAGAAACGCTGTCGCCCAATAGCACTCGTCAGGTCTGAGCCAGAGAGGAATACATTCAAGTACCATGTGAGATCTTGAGCTCTCTGTGCCCCAACATTAAATTGAAATGCAGTAATGACTCAGTGTTCTGTGCTGACCTTTAAACAAGATGAAAACATGATCCTCTTTGGTCAAGTTAAAGATTTCCAGTTGGTTTAGGAACGTGATTCCAGTGTCATTCTTGTTAAATCAGATTCAGACGGCTACAAGGCTGAATATGAGCTATTATTGAGTGTATAGTGTCCGCTGTCTCTGCCAGAAGATTGTCTGCTCTAGTGATCTGTACCATCGTTCTTGTTGCATCACTTTAAAAAGCAGCCCAAGATGTATTGCATTTAGGGAGGGGCAGTATATTAGAGCCTTGTTCTCTGTGTGCACACATGCACGTGCTCTAGGGCCGGGCTGTATTTTATAAGCCTGAGCAGCATGGCACTAAAGCTTTTTGTAGCTTTCTCTGGCACGGTGGCCTCTGTGATGCCAATAGGTTATGTCAAGTATTCTCCAGTTACTGCCTCTATGAGTCTCTGTATGGACAGTAATAACAGCAGATGGCTTGTGTTATGGTTTTCCGTGCACCCAGCAGCAGACTTTTGGGGGTGACTGGTGCTAAAGTTGGATAAGCATACTCAGATCGTAGAAACCCTGAAAAAATGGGGCTTAGCTCTCAAACTGAGCCCTGAAAACTGGTGAAAATGTGAGCCCAAAGTGCTGATGTGGCTCTTTTTGCTAGGGGAAGCACACAGGCAGCTGCATCTGGCATTCTGAGTCCATATTCTGAACAACCCCATGAGGCATGTGAGGCATTCAGACACGATGGTGAGAGCCTTACACAGATAGCCATGGAAGTCACTTTATATTCAGTGCAGGATTTGAATAGCCTGCTAGGTGTGAGTGCAACTTCATAGTTAATGCTGGAGAAGAAAAAGAAATATTGAATGCATTCACTGAGTGAGGCAGAGGTCCTGTGGAAAGAACAGATCATGCACTTAGGGTTTATATAAAAATCCAGCCATGCTCTGGGGAAACGGATCTAAGACATAGGCATTTGGCAAGTTGCTGTAGGCCCAGGTTGCTATTCTTAATGTCTCTGTGTGGCTGCATGCCCACCCTGCATGTATGTGCTTCCCGGAGCAGGCAGGAGAGGTTTGTATAGGTGCTGTCTGGACCATGCCTGGCACTGTGCTCGCATTCTCAGTCTGGTATTTGGTGCTGTTCCAGGCAATGCAAGTGCTCACAGTGCTGACTCTCACCCTGGCAGGAGGTGGGATTAAAATCAGCCAGAGAGAAGCAGATGTGTGGCACTGAGCCATCAGCCCTTCAGAATCACCCTAGCAGTAGCTATGAGTTAGGGTCTTTCCTCCAGGTAACACAGGTGATCCCAATAGAGGCACCAATTCCTGTGTGTTCAGCCTTGTTCTCTTTAAAATCAAAGTGGCAGTGTTTTTGCGCTAAGAACTGGGCAAATATGGTTTATTAGCTGGCAGCTGACTTTGGGGAGGGAGAGAGTGGGGGGGTGAAGTACAGCACACACAGTTCTCCCATCTGAAGCTCATTCTGGTGGCGGCTTTTCTCTTTACAGCCGAAGAGCGAAACAATACAATGGCTGGTAAATCGTCTTTCAAGGAACGGGAGTCATTTAATGGCCGAAATATCCTCAAGGTCAGTATGAAATAATTAGGGAAATCAAGCCAGCTGTGGATATTGTATAGCCAAAAGAGATTGAAACACCTCTTCAAGACTGCTTTTGTCTTAGGCTTATGGGATCTCCCAGGGGGGAAAATCTGTTTAGAAAATAAACAATCCAGATCAGTTGTAATTGGGAGCATTACAGTATTTAACAGAAGCTTTCTTAAGGCTGGTGAGGCTCAGATCAGGAGTATGTAGCATGCATGCTAAGTGGGTGTTCCGTGTTGTCGTTTACTTCTCTCATGTTTTACCCTGGAGACTCAGGCTTGTGTGGATTCTCAGCCCACCAGAAAGGAGTACTTTGTTGTTCTTGATCTACTCACTCATATATATTTATATAACTAAAACCGACTGCCATTTCACTTAACTCTTTTCTTCTTTTTTTTAAATTTCTGCTATGGATTTCTGTGGTTTTGCTCCAGAAAAATAACAGGTAGTGGAAGGGGGTCCCACCAACCAGGATCTGAGGGCTTTGGTGGTGATCAGAGGGTAGGAAGCAAGATCCCCCCACACCATGGAGGTGGGTAAGGCTCAAAGGGGAGCATCCTGCAGCCTCCCAGGCTTTGTCAGCCAGGGTTGAGGTTGCAGGCAGCCTCTGCTGCTCATCCAGATGGCAGTGTCAGACTGATGCTGTGGTGCTTGGCCCCTGCAAGTGTCCAGAGAGAAAACACAAGCACAGAGGAGTCGAATCAGAAAACAACACTGGGTTGTAAGCATATTTGGAGTCCTCATTGTGTGAGGGGATTTGTTTCAGGCAGCTATGATAAGATGGGGTAATGCTTGAATACATTTAGGAACCGACAGAAGAGATTGTGGTGACAAAGAGAGGATGCAGGCTGGGTGAGAGCTGGACAGCCCAGAAGGACTTGAGGGCACCAGAGGAGGGAAAGGGTGCGCTTTATGTCTGTTTACAGTTTTGCTGTATAATGCATTAGGCACTGGATGCACGGGGATGGGAAGGCAGGGAGTGGAACTGATTGATCTCTGTACAGAGAACAAAGGGACAAAATTAGGTTAAGCTCTCATTGTCCTCAAACGGTCTGTGCAAGCTCGGTGTCATGACTCAGCATCGCCACACGCTGAGTGTTCGGTGTGAGACTGCAGGATTGCAAAGTGGAGCGGGGAAGCCACAGACGTGGTCCCTTTCCTAATGTGATCTGTGAGTTTTGGTTAGCTCCTGGCGCCCAAGAGTTGGTTCCAGAAAGGGGAGGTGTATGTCAGGAGGTCTGAGTGCCTGCAGGGACTCGGCTTTCAAAGTGTGCGCCCACATTTCGCTTTGCCCTTCGCTCCTTTCTCTCGTATCCATTAAACTTGTCAGACTTTAGAGATGTAAAATCAAGCTGTCAGTCTTCCTTTATGCTCCTCACCCAAAGGCATTTACAATTTGGAAGGCATTAACGATGCTCCCTCTGCTGGTCACACCATTTGTGGACCACACTGCGGGGTGTGAGCAGCTGTGGGGCTGGTGGTGGGTGTGCGGCGCTAAGAAATGCAACTGCCCTATCTCAGGTGGCTACTTCTTATTCTTGCTGGAGTAGGAGCCGATGCATTTTTAAAGCTCCTAATTGATTTTGTACCGATGTAGCCAAAAGAGCTGCTGGCTGTTTGGCCTGTTGATAATTACTTCAAAGCATGTCTTGCCGCAAGAAATGTCATCCTTCTCCCCTACCTCCGCTACATTTCCTAACCTGCTCGTTTCGTATTTCCCTTTGGTCTCCCACGTGCCTGCAGCAGAACGCCCGTTGGCATTAATTAATTACATGAGTCATAAATAGCTCCAGGCTTCTTACCAGAGGAGCCCAGCCTCAGCCAGCCACTGATGCATTCTAGCATGACCTTGCAAGGATGCACAAGTTCCCTCTCAGCCCCCTTTTTATATACATGACTTATCTTCTGCTCAGGGAGGTTGCCCTCTCACAAAGTGGCTTCATTAACTTTTTCAGTAGGATCTAAACAACGGGCTGTTAATGAATATGGCTGCAGTTAGGCAGGCTGGCTTGTGGGCACCATCCCCTTGTAGGTAGAACAATTTGCCATGCCTGTGTTCCCAGGCAGTGGGACTCTGCAATAGCTGTGTTGGTGGCAGTGTTCCCACTTGGAAAGCCGACACAGCACGGCTACTGGTAGGCGGGCATCATCCCAGAAAACTTGGGTTTTGTCGCTCTCATTCCCGTTGTGCAGCTGCAACCAAAGGCTTTGCCTAGCGGAGAGCAGGACCTGAGCTGTCGGAGCAGAGAGCACGATGGAGACGCCTTGGTTCTGCTGTTCCAGTCTGAGCCTCCCCCGTGGTCAGAGCTGGTGTGTGTGTGTGTGCAGATGCGCTGGCAGCGCACGTTTGCTGATGGCAGGCCTGCGTTACCCCCGGCTCCAGCTGGTATTTTACTTTCAGCAGAACTAATCGGAATTTTATTTAATAATCCTTTGTTCTACCCGTTCCACAGAGTTAAACATACACTTCTATTTGTGCTAATAAATGGTTGTGCAGGCCAGTACCTTCCCACACTGCTCAGAAAATAGATCCTATAGGATGAGTTGCGTTTGGGAGTTTAAATTACTTCTGTCTTGAAGAACATCCATGAAAAACGCTCCCTGGCCTAGCTGGTGCTGAAAGCCCAAGGGAGTGTATGCTCCAACAGCTGAGCGATTTGTGTTTCCCGCAGAAGGAAGAGCTAGACACTTTAGCATCATGCTTGTCTAGTCCCAAGAAGCTAGAGGTGCTTTCTGAACCACTTCCTACAGAGCAATATGTATTTCTTCTAGGGTGGCTAGCTGATCGACTCCTTTGAACATCCAAGTCACGTATCAAATTGTTGCTCCGGTTGGGAGCAAAGTGGATCGCCTCTCGGAGAGCGGAGGGAACGGGCAGCAATTCACAGCTGAGAGACAGCGGCAGCTCCTTCCCCGTGAGAGCAGGGTTGGGCCAGGTGGGCGACTGGGCCTTGGGGAGATGCTGGTTTGGCAGCCCCTCTGCGTTGCCTC